TGCTGGGACTTCTACAGGATTCAGCATGACTTAAAGGGCCCTGGGGAATGCATTCTGTTCCCCAGTCCCCCACCCCCACCTGCCAGAATGACAGAGGCTTCCCAACAAAGGTGGGTAAGCCGGGCAGGGGTGGCAACCCAAGGCTGCTGGGGAAGTGGGGTGTTCCAGGGCTGAGCAAAACTCCCGACTCTCCCCCTACCTCGGTTTCTTCATCTTAAAAATGGAGCTGGTGGGGCTGGGCGCGGTGGCTCATGCCTGTAATCCCAGCACTTTGGGAGGCTGAGGCAAGCGGATCACGAGGTCAAGATATCGAGACCAGCCCGGCCAACATGTTGAAACCCCGTCTCTACTAAAAAATGCAAAAATTAGCCGGGTGTGGTGGTGCACGCTTGTAATCCCAGCTACTCAGGAGGCTGAGGCAGGAGAATTGCTTGAAGCCAGTAGGTGGAGGTTGCAGTGAGCCGAGATCGTGCCACCGCACTCCAGCCTGGGTGACAGAAAGAGAATCCATCTCAAAAAAAAAAAAAAAAAAAAAAATGGAGCTGGTGGTGAAGTGCTGAGGTTCTGTCAATCTTTCTTCCCTCCAAATTTCTGGCATGCCCAGCCCCACGTCTGGGTTGAGAGTAGTGACTCAGCAGATACTGAAGGCTACTGCTAGTAACCAAATGAGGTTAGCAGGAGGACTGGCAGGACGCAGGGAGCTGGGATTCCGAACAGCGCATAGTTAGGTCTCACCCACCTGTGGCCCCATCTATCCAACCACCTAACATTTACTCATCGTTCAGCAAATATTTAGTGAACACCAACTATGTATGAGGCACTATGGAGGGGAGTGGGTGTTAGGTCCCCCCTCTTCCCCATCTCCTTCCTCTCCCCACAACCCGCATGTCTCCACCTTCATTTTCTTTTGGGTTATGGTCACAGGAGGACTGGACTGGGAGTCAGGACTAGACTCAGGCTCGCTGGTGACCTAGACAGGCACCTTGCCTTCTCTGTACCTTGGTGGACCAATGGTCATTAGTGGACTCTGTGTCCTTCCTGAGAGAGGAGAGCCCTGGATTAACAGCAGCTCTGGGCTGGGGGCCTCACCCCTGGATCTCGTTCAGTCCCCATAAAGTGAGATGAAGGAATAGAGACCAAGACTCACCCAGGACCCTATAGCCAGGAAGGGAAGAGGGCAGAGCTCAGGTCTGTCTGGCCCCAGAGCCCTGCCCGCTTGTCTGAGCTGGAGGGGAAGGAGTGCCCGTCGGGAGAAACTCTCAGATCCTGGATAGAAGCCGGGATGAGGGATAGGGACTAAGGTGCTCAGAGTCCCCTTGCCCTGCCCCTCAGTTAGTGGCTTTGACCACCAGCCGTCTCAGAAAGGCTTCTGTCGGTCAGAGAAGCAGCTGCCCCAGAAGGCCATGCAGGGTGACCTCAGCCTCCTCAATGTTCCCTGGGCCAGCACAGGCACAGAACGAGCCTCCTTTTGTAAAGAGATGTATACTCACTGGGTCAGCAGTGAGGCAGGGAGGACAGCCTCACAGCTATGAGCACAGGTTTTCTAAGGCTGGTCCCCAACCCAGCTCTGCTGCCTGCTAGCACTGGGCCCCTGGGCAAGCTGCCTCCTCCCCTGAGCCTCAGTCTTCCCATCTGTAAAATGGGCATAGTGACAATTCCGTAGACCCGCTGTGCTAGATCCTGTGCTGAGCCCTCTCTGTATCTGCACCCCTCTCTGTAGCAGCACCCCCCTCTTCCATAACCTTCGTTCCTCTAGTCCTCACCTCAGAGTCCAGCCGCGGCAGCGGTTCTGCGCCACCTGACAGATCTCCATGCCTCCACTGCATCCAGAATGCAGCTCTGAATGCCCCGTCTGGAGATGTGGGGTCCTGCCCACCCAGCCCCCAGACCAAGGGACACATTTATGGTGAGGGAGGATCCCAGTGGGCACATGAGCGCGATGCCCACCAGTCTCACCCTGGAGCCTGGGCCTGATGGAACGTAGGGGCAGCCAGCTTGTGCCACACCCCGAGCACAGAGCCAACAGCCAGTCCCAGGTGCTGCATCCCCAGGAGCTGGAACACATGGTCCAGGGACAAGTTGTAGAAATAGGATTGCCCCCCCCCCCACCATGCCCCAGTGACCTCCTTGTGGATTTGTGCTTCTTGTCCCTGCAACTTTAGGTTTGTCAGACGAGAGGCCCCAGCTACCTGGGACACGGGAGAGGGGAAAGGGGCAGGGAAGAAGGGAAGTAGGGGAGGGCTCCACTGGGCACAGCATGGATCTCATTGAACTCAAACCTGTGACTATATCTGTCACACTGGGGCCTTTGTGCCAGGGACCAGGGCCAACATGTAAAGAAAGGGGTTCCCACTCAGGGTGGGTTCTAAGCCCTTCTTGGTAACCCTCTAGCATGAAGTCTTTGCAGGTATTGCAGATGCCAGCACCTCAAAGGGAACTCTGACGGGAGGACCCCGTGGGGGACAGGGGTGGGGCTGGATGCTGCAGGGCGGGACTGTGTTGAGTAGCTCGCCTGAATGGCTTCAGACCTCTTGGCTTCACCTCCTAATCCAGACCCAGCTGCAGTAAATAGACCTCCCAGGCCGTGACAATCTCCATGCTGCCGTAAGCTGACAATGGCCTGCCCTAGACCCCTGTGCTTGCCTCTCGCTTCCAGCTCGGGGCTTTGCTGATGCCACAGTGTGGGATCCCCTCACCTCTGCCTCTCCACAGTAACCCACTCAGCAGTTACGCACGCTCAACAGCTAGTGCAAAGGCGTGAACACCCTACAGGCTAACGCTTCCTCAAAGGCAGCAGAGCCCTGGAAGCAATGCTCCCTCCTTTCTTCCCTGGGCGGATGGTTCTGAGATGCATTGTGTAAGACAGCTCTGGTGATCCTGGGGGATCTGGCACCCCGGCTTCCGTAATGGTGAACTCAGCAATGCACGTTTGCATTGGCTTTTTTTTTTTTTTTTTTTTTTTTTGAGCCAGAGTCTTGCTCTGTCACCCAGGCTGGAGTGCAGTGGTGTAATCTCGGCTCACTGCAACCTCCATCTCCCAGGTTCAAGTGCTTCTCCTACCTCAGCCTCCTGAGTAGCTGGGACTACAGGCGCATGCGATCACATCTGGCTTTTTTTTTTTTTTTTTTGAGACAGAGTCTCACTCTGTCACCCAAGCTGGAGTGCAATGGCACAATCTTAACTCACTGCAACCTCTGCCTCCCAGGTTCAAGTGATTCTCCTGCCTCAGCCTCCCAAGTAGCTGGGATTACTGGCACCCGCCACCACACCTGGCTAATTTATGTATTTTTAGTAGAGATAGGGTTTCACCATGTTGGCCAGGCTGGTAATTTTTGTATCTTTAGTAGAGACGGGGTTTTGCCTTGTTGGCCAGGTTGGTCTCTAACTCTTGACCCCAAGTGATCCACCCGCCTCGGCCTCCCAAAGTGCTGGGATTACAGGTGTGAACCACTGTGCCTGGCCTTTGCACTGCTTTTCTTGCTGCTCCTGTTTTGCTCTCCCCATCCCCATCCCCATCCCTCACTCCCGCCCCTGGGAGTACTTGTCCCAAACAAGCTCCAAGTACAAGAGCCTTTCTTTGAGGCCTGCTTGCAGGGGAGCCCAAACCAAAGCAGATGTTCCAGGCTGAATTGTGCTCCTCCAGATTCATACGTTGAAGTCCTAACCCCAGGTCCTCAGAATGTGTCTGTGTTTGGAAATAGGGTACTATGGTCTGAATGTTTGCATTCCACCAAAATTCGGGTTGGAACCTAATCTCCAATGTGATGGTATTATGAGGTGGTGGCTTTGGGGAGGTGAGAGGCTCTGCCCTTATGAATAAGATTAGTGTCTGTATCAGTCCATTCTTGAATTTCTGTAAATAAACACCTGAGACCAGGTAATTTATAAAGAAAAGAGGTTTGCTTGGCTCACGGGTCTGCAGGCTGTACAGGAAGCATGCTGGCATCTGCTCAGCTTCTGGGGAGGCCTTAGGAAGCTTCCAGTCATGACGGAAGGTGAAGGGGGAACAGGTGTCTTACATGGCCAGAGCAGGAGCAAAACAGAGTTGACAGGGATGTGCCACACACTTTTAAACAACCAGATCCCACGAGAACCCACTCACTATCAGGAAGACAGCACCAAGCCATGAGGGATCCACCACCAACCAAACCAAACACCTCCCACCAGTCCCCATCTCCAACTCTGGGGAGGCTGAGGCAGGAGAATCGGTTGAACCTGGGAGGTGGAAGTTACGGTGAGCTGAGATTGCGCCATTGCACTCCAGCCTATGTGACAGAATGAGACTCCGTCTCAAAAAAAAAAAAGAGAGAAAAGAAAAAAAGAAAAAGAAAGAAATGATGGAGCACCTTTTACCCTTCTTGCACTGGTTCCTGGGGAGCTCAGAGCCTATCTTATGCAAATGTCCTGAGCCTCTTGCAGGCCTTTCATGTGTGTTTCCTTCCTGGCTTCCTCCTATTTTTATCACACCTCTGAACCTGCCGTTGGGTGAAAAATCAAGGTGGGCCCCAAATTTAAGAGCTCATGAATTTCATGGTGTTGGAGTGTCCCGCCAGTCCAGCTCTCAGGGGTGGGCAGTTGGGCAGAGAGGAAGGAGGGCATTCTAGGGGACAGGGCCAGAAGTAGAGGGACTCCAGTCCTAGAGTAGGATTTCCAGGCTGAGGAAAGACAGGCCGTGGCTGGGTAGAGGATCCAGAACAGAACAGTGACAGAGGGTGTATCTGGAGACTCAGCCAGAAATACCTCCCTCCAGAAAGTAGGCAGCAAGTCAGGGGTTGAGCTGCAAGAAGGAAGGGGAGGAGGGAGAGAATGGAGGGACCGGTGCTCAGTGAGCCGACTCCTCCTATCCTGGCCTATTTCCCCAGGGGACACGCCTAGGAGATTGTGATCCTCCCCTCCAGGTTACTTTCCCACTGGTGCCAGGATTCCCCCAACGCCACACTGAGAACCCAGGAGACGCACCAAATTGTATGAGAGATAAGAAAAGAAGAGAGGGAGCAGGATTTCTGGTTGACGAAGGATATTTATTGAGAGTTTACTGGGTACAGGGAGAAGGGCTGGATGGCTTGGGATGCAGAGAGATCCCTCCCCTGGGATCCTGCAGCTCCAGGCCCCTGTGGGTGGGGTGAGGGTTAGGAACCTACGAACATTGTGCATGGGTCACTGTCTTCTCCACGGTGCTCCCTTCATGCGTGACCTGGCAGCTGTAGCTTCTGCGGGACCTCCACTGCTCGGGAGTCAGGCTCAGGTAGCTGCTGGCCGCGTACTTGTTGTTGCTCTGTTTGGAGGGCATGGTCATCTCCATGCCCTGGGTGATGGGGGTACCATCTGCCTTCCAGGTCACCGTCAAGATTCCTGGATAGAAGTCACTCATGAGACACACCAGCGTGGCCTTGTTGGCTTGGAGCTCCTCAGAGGACGGCGGGAACAGAGTGACCGAGGGGGTGGCCTTGGGCTGACCTGTGTGGACAGAGGAGGGGGTGAGAGACGGCAGAGGGAGAGTGGGGTGTTGTGGAGCGCCTCTCTCTGTCTAAAGTCTCTGGGAGGGTTCATGGTGTGGTTGTCTGGTCCACCCAGGGCCTCTCCTTCCCTCTTCATTCCCTCCTTTCCACTGGAGCCCTCTGGAGAGCAGACAGCCCTGCACCTTCCTAGGGGCCTTCCCAAGTCACCTTTCCCAGGCGTCCTGGCCCAGTCATTTCCTCTGCAGCCTCAGTTTCCCCGTGTGTACCCAGGGCAGGCTGCACTCCCTCCTTCCTGGTTTCTGGAGTCTGAGTTTGGAATTTAGGGGTCTCCCCCACAGCACACAAAACCATCCTGGCAGGGTGTGGGGAGGCCCAAACCTGGCATGGCCTGGAGCTTCCCATCCCCTGGGACACCAGGCTGTGCCCCAGCCTGGCCCACTCAGTTCTCCTGGTGAAGCAGGGGCTCCACTCAGACACACCCTGGGGCTCTGCCATCACCCCTGTCTCCACCAGCCCGACCACAGGACCCTTCACATCGGCTGGGTTCTTGGAGCTGCTTCCCCAGATTTCGGGGGACCGCAGCCCCCATGCCCACCCCAGCAGCCTCTGATTCACCTGGTGGCCGTGGAGTTATGTGCACCCCCGTTTACTCCCCGCTAGTCACCTCCTGAGTCTAAAGTGCCCTCCTCAAATGAAGGTGGGAGGTCCACCTGTGAACAGAGAGACACCGGGCCCCAGAGGTGACGGGGCTCCAGAGACAGACACATCTCTGCCCTAAGAGACCCTCTCCTTTCTGGTAACTGTCCTGGGAGGGCTGGGCTCTGGGACCTCACCCAGTCTCACCCATCCCTTTGTGTCCCCATGTCCTCACGACCCAGCACAGGCCACAGAGCTGCAGCCTAGACCCAGAGCCCTCTCTGTGCCCTCCATTGGCCTCCCCTCGAGGTGACCCCTGTGTCCCCAGGCCCCCGTGTGGCCCTCCCAGGCTGGATGGGCACCCAGCCCTCAGCCTAGACCCCGGGGTCCCGGGGACTGTCTCTACCGGCCTCTGTCCCTCACTCAGACATCTGCCCTGGGAGAGGGGAGGAGCCCTGACCCTGCCCAATCCCAGCCCGGGTCCCGGGACCAGGCTGTGTCCCGCTGTTGGAACCTGAAGGTGGCTGCTCCCACTGTGGGGGCCCTTCCTGCCGGTTACCCCGAGACTAACGCACCTCGTCCAGGCCCCATGGAGAAAGGTAGGGGTCAGTGCTTAAGGCTGGGAGGGCAGAGGGGAAGAAGCCCCAGAGAGAGAAAACAGATTTCCAAAGATAGGAGAGGGTGGGACAGGCTGGGAAAGGTTGTGAGAGCCACATACCTAAAACAGTGAGCTGGGTCCCGCTGCCAAACACATGCCTCAGTGAATTATGCCTGGACTGAAACTCCCGGGGCCAGCACCTGGGGCCAGTCCAGGAGCCGTGCTGGAGCAGGAACCTGCTGGGTGTGAGGGGCACAGGGCTGCAGTGTGTAGGCTGTGACCTAGGCACAGGGCAGGGGGGTGGCCAGTATCCCAGTAGTGTCTCTGTGCCTGTCCCTTCTCTGAGGCAGGTGTCACCCACAGCCTTGGAGCCACCCCAGCCTGTGTCCCAGTCTCTGAAGCTGTTGGTGCTGATGGCAATGCTGGCCCAGTGGGTCCCAGCAACTCTCTGAGTGACGCATCACCTCAGGCAGCTGTGCGGTGTGGCTCAGGAGTCCTGAGCTGGCTCGGACCTGCCCAACCTCACTTGGCCTCTTTTCAAGGGCCTCTGAAGTCCGCCACAAGTGTCGCCAGTCAAGCCAGGCTGACTTCCTCCCTGGACCAGGACACTGGGTCATTCTTGACTCAAGAGGAGAGTCCTCTGCTTTTATATCTATCCATGGAGATGCAGCTCAGTCTCACTTTGTTCATGGAGCCTTTTCTGATCATTCATTCCATCTGTCCATCCATCCATCTGTCCATCCACCTGTCCATCTATGCATCTGTCCATTTATTCATCTGTCTTTGCATCTATCTGTCATCTAACAGTTCATCCACCCATCTACTTGTCCATAGATCCATCCATAGATCCATCCTGTCTACCAGGCACTGTGTTGTGTGCTGGGGACCTGGTGTGTTCCCCCAGGCTCTCACCTCCATCTCTCCCAGGTCATGGCCAACAAGGCCCTCCTCATGGTCATGTCCAAGGTCCTTCTGCTGTACCTGGTGTCTCTGCTGGATGTGACACGGGGCTGGCCCCTCTTTCCAGTGACTCTTTTCCCCTTGGGGTCTGACTCCCCTTTCCTCTTCCCCTGGCATCTGTTTCTCCATGGCCTGTGCCTGGCTGCTGACTCCCCCACTATTGCCCACATGGCGAGGCTGGAGCCTATCCCAGCTTCAAACCTTCAGCTCCACCTCAATTGCCAACTCAACTGACCATGTCCAGTGAGCTACCCAACAGGAGTCTAAAACTAATCACATCCAGAGGAGATGACCACCTTCCCCCAGCCCAGCTCATTTTCCATCTTCATCTCATCACAATGACCATGGGTGGTCTCAGCCCCTCAGCCAGAAACCTGGAGTCCCTGGACTCAGTCACCTCGCCTCCCACATTGAAATGGCTTTTGTGTACTTAGCTACTGCATCTAGACAGTCTTTTTTTTTTTCTTTTGAGACAGAGTCTCGCTATGTTGCCCAGGCTGGAGTGCAGTGGCGTGATCTTGGCCCACTGCAACCTCCGCCTCCTGAGTTCCTGGTTTCAAACGATTCTCATGCCTCAGCCTCCCAAGTAGCTGGGACTACAGGCGTGCACCACCACACCCAGCTAACTTTTCTATTTTTTATAGAAACAGTTTCACCATGTTGGCCAGACTGGTCTCGAACTCCTGACCTCAAGTGATCCACCCACCTCAGCCTCCCAAAGTGCTGGAATCACAGCGGGACCTGCCTATGGGGCCAGCAAGAGGGAGGTTCTGCCCCTGAAATGATGATCGCCTGTGGGTACGTGATCGCCTGTGGGTACAACATGATCGCCTGTGGGTACAACGTGCACCAGCGATGACCAGGCTGTTGTGTCCCAAATAGTCATAAATGGACCCAGATGCTTGGTGCTTTGTCCGGGGACCTCCCACCACATGCAGAGTGGTGGCGAGGGCTGAGGTCACACAGGGAGTTGTGGCCTCCCTAGACCCTCTCCTGGGCTTCTTCTTTGGAGGCACCTGCACCCTGGATAAGCTTGGGTCTCCTAGGGGCTGGTTTCAGGAGGCGATGCTGGCTGAGGTCTAGTGACCCAGGGACTCCAGGAAACACCCCTCACACATCAGCTGGAGCTCCAGGGAGTGGCCCCTGCCCAGTGAGGGTGGGAGTGGACAGGCGACATAGGCCAGGGGAAAGGAGGAGGAGGAGGAGGGAGAAGAGGAGAAGGAAGAGCGGGAGGAGGGGGAGGCCTGGGCACCCTTCAGGGATAGTGGCCACCACCCTGTGGACGTCCTGCCCCTGCCTCCGGTCCTGCCCTACCCCAAGGACTAGGGGGAGGTAAGGGAGACATTGACCTTGGGGCCAAATGTAAGGGGTGGGGGCAAAAATCTCAGGAATCAAGATAAATAATATTTTAATATGACATTAAGCAATAAAAATTAATTCAAACAAATCCATGATGGAAAAATATTAACACTTCAGGTAAAGTCAGTGTGTGTCTGGCTCCCCTCCAGGGATTAACCTTCCTCCTCCCCCCTCTGGCTTGTCTCCCCTTGGTCATCCTTTCCCGCCTCTGCCGCCAGACCCCCACATCCCCAGGAATCTCTCACCCCTTACCTGCCCCACCGGCTCCTCAGGCTGGACCGGCTGCTTCCTCCAGGGGCTCCAGGGCCCAGGGCTCTGCTCTGCGGTGCAGCCGTTGGGTGCACCAGGCCATGGGTTACCAGCGCCAGACCCAGCAGCAGCAGGGGCCAGCGCTGCCTGAGGTTGGGGCCTGGCTCACCAGGGGCCTCACGGCCCGGCTGGCCTGTCCCTGGCCTCATCTGCCCTCAGGGTCGGAGGCCCTTGTGGCCTGACTTGCAGCGTGGGCTCCCTGGAGAGTGGTGCCCCGGTCTCTCGCTGGCAGCAGCTGTCCCAGGGCATCCCAGTCCATGTGGCCCCATCCTCATCCTCTGGTCCCTGCCCCCAGCCAGGCCCCTTCCAGCGTCCATGGCCGTCACCCCTGGGGTTCTGTCCCGGAGGCACATCTGCCAACTGCCCTGCTGTGGTCAGGATCCAGGGCTCAACTGCCTCCCACACCTGTCAGCTTGGCCTTGCCCCTGGGGCCCTGGGTGCTTTGTTCGGGGACCTCCCACCACAGGCAGAGGGTCGGCAAGGGCTGAGGTCACACAGGGAGGTGGGCTGCACCATGGCCCCCCAAGACCCTCCCCTGGGGCTTTCCTTTGGAGGAAACTACACCCTGGATGGGCTTGAGTCCCCTCGGGGCTGGTCCCAGGAGGTGACGCGCCTGACTTCCCTCCTTCCCCCAGGGCGCCCTGGGTCTGTGGAGCATCTCACTGGGGTCCAGAGAGCCGCCCAGCAGGAGTCCCCCAGGGCTTGAGCTCAGGGGGCTGGGCTGAGGCTCCTCCAACCAGCCCTGGAGGGAGGTGTGGTTAGAGAGGAGGAAACAGGTTTGGGGTTAGCCAGAAGCCACTCAACGGTTCAAGTCCAGGAATCATGAGGTAAGAACGAAAACGCCGTTTAATGTGCCACGTTCAGCGCCTCACAGACCTCACATCACACAGACACACAGACACAGAGACACACAGACACAGAGACACACAGACACACACACACACTCCCCACCCCAGCTTCCTGAAGGTGTAATTGACAAAACTGTATATATTGACCACCTACAATGTGATGCTTTGCCACACTGTAAAATGATTAAATCAAGCTGACTCACACGTCCATCTCCTCACATGCTTATGCTTTTGTAGTGAGAACACGGAAGATCTAATCTTAGCAATTTTCCAGTATACATTTATTAACTGTAGTCTCCACGTTGTATGATACATCTCCAGAGCTCATTCTTACGGATTTCACTCAGAGGCCAGTAGCTTCCTCCCGGGCGGTGAGCGCGTCATGTCATGGCTTCTGACAGGCCCCCGGGTCCTCTCCCAGCCCGGCATCCCCGACCCTCTCCCAACATCTCGGGACCCTGTGCTTTGTTGGGGCGGGGAGCAGGGGCAGTGAGGAGGGACTGAGCACCTGTGCTGGGCGGCCAGGGCCAGGCTCTTTTGCTGGTGTTGCCAGAGACGCCTCTGGTCACCCAGGAGTCTCAGGTTCCTCTCCTCCAGAGGTGGGGCTGGAAATGCTGCTGGCTCTGCTCGCTTTTCAGGGCCGGGCTGAGGTTGGTGTTGGGAGATAATGCATGTCAAAGTGTTGTTTTCTTCATTTGTAAAAAAGTAGTAACATACACACGACCTAAAATTTATCATCTTGACCTTTTTTTGTTTTTTTGAGTCTTGCTCTGTTGCCAGGCTGGAGTGCAGTGTGGCACGATCTCAGCTCACTGAAACCTCTGACTCCCTGGTTCAAGCAATTCTCCTGCCTCAGCCTCCCAAGTAGCTGGGATTACAGGCATGCACCACCAAGTCCAGCTAATTTTTGTATTTTTAGTAGAGATGGGGTTTCACCATGTTGGCCAGGCTGGTCTCGATCTCCTGACCTCATGATCCGCCCGCCTGGGCCTCCCAAATGCTGGGATCACAGGTGTGAGCCACCGCGCCTGGCCCATCTTGACCATTTTTAAGTGCACAGTTCAGTGGCATTAACTACATTCATAATGTCGTGCAACTATCACCACCATCCATCTCTAGATTTTTTTTTTTTTTTTGAAAGTCTTGCTCTGTTGCCCAGGCTGGAGTGCAGTGGGGCAATCTTAGCTCATGGCAATCTCTTCCTCCTTGGTTCAAGTGATTATCCTGTCTCAGCCTCCTAAGTAGCTGGGATTACAGATGCCCACCACCATGCCAGCTAATTTTTTGTATTTTTAATAGAGACGGGGTTTCAGCATGTTGGTCAGGCTGGTCTCGAACTCCTGACCTCATGATACGCCTGCCTCGGCCTCCCAAAGTGCAGGGTTTACAGGCGTAAGCCACCGCAAGTGGCATGGCTTTTTCTGTTTTTTGACACGGAGTCTCACTCTGTTGCGCAGGCTGGAGTGTAATGGCACATCTAGATCTTTTCCATCTTGCAAAACTCAAATTCTGTCCCCATTCAACACTAACTTCCCATTTCTCCCTCCCCCAGCCCCTGGCACCCACCATGCTAGTTCCCGTCTCTCTATTTGGCTACCCTGGGTACCTCCTATGGGTGGGACCATACTCTACTTGTCCTTTGAAAGTGCTTTTTAAACTGGAAAGTGCTGCATGTATAATACCTTCAGGGGCTTATTAGTATTATCTTTTATATTTCTCTGAGATGGAATTTCACTCTGCTGCCCAGGTTGGAGTGCAATGGCGCTATCTCAGCTCACTGAGGACTCTGCCTCCTGAGTTTGAGCAATTCTCCTGCTTCGGCCTCCCAGGTAGCTGGTCTACAGGTGCCCGCCATCATGCTACATTTTCGTGTTTCTAATAGAGACGGGGTTTCACCATGTTGACCAGGCTGGTCCCGAACTCCTGATCTCAGGCGATCAGCGCACCTCAGCCTCCCAAAGAGCGGGGATTACAGGCGTGAGCCATCATGCCTGGCCGATTATCATTATTATTATTACCAGCTGGCCTAGTTAGTGTGGCTTGGAAAATGTTGTTAACCATCATAAAGTAAATGAATCCTTGATGATACTGAGCTTCAACTGCCACTATTCGAATTTTGCACCGCAGCTCATAGAGGGGGTGAAATTCATTCCAATGGCTGCAGCTAACCTTTTGTTAAAGTGAGGCCGCCTAGAGCTGACTCCAGCTGGAGAGCGAGCTGTTCCACGGGAGGGATTGTAACGGTTCCCGGAATGTTGCTTCAGTTACCTGAATGCGCAGATATGCTCTGGGTTACAGTGGAAGATCTACTTCTTGCTGGAAGTTTGGATGGAAAATCTTTTGGAAAGTGCTGTCCTGGAACATCTGGCCCAGCTGTCAAATCCCCTCTTGCATTTCCCCAGCGGCAGATCCGCTGTCACGTTTTAAGCCACCCTTTGCCTTAGGTCCTCCATATCCCGGTCCCGGCCACCGGGTATGTCCCTGGGGCAGTGCCATCCAATGGCTTGTCCAGTGCTGTGAGGCTCTCCCCAACTTCCCTCCAGTTGAGTTTCATGGGTGCCACATGCCTGTCCTGGAGCTGGGCCATCTCACACATCCCCTTGGCATCTGCCAGCCATGGTTGTGGGATGCTACAAGAGACAGACAGACAGACGAACGGAAGACTTCATGTTATCTCATGGAGATCACTAGAGCCATAGTGAGCTCAGGCTCCATGGACTGATGCTCAGATCCCAGTGTCCCACAAACACTGAGAGTCCCCTAAGCGCCAAAGGCTGCATCCCAGACAGCTCCCGATCCTCGGGGAGACAGGCAAGGTGCTGAGCAGTAATGGGATGTGGACACCCTAAGAAACATTGATGCAGGTACAGGGGAAGCCCCTGGGAGGCCCCAATCCAGTGCAGCTTCTCCCTTGTTGAGAGGCTTGGTCCACTGCTGCCCCTGACCCTGGCTCCTCTCACCTTCAGGGCTGGAGCAGCACCTGCCCTGGGGATCTGGGCTGAAGCTGCTCCCTCCCCAGCACCCCCCCCCCTTGAGTGTGACACTCATCATTGCCTGGAACTCAGAAACTGTGGTTCCCCCAAGGACAGCCCCAGGTCTTGGGAGAGGAAGGAACTGTTTTTAAATATAGTGTCCCCAGCCGCTCCCTTTCAGGCCCTGCCTGACCCTGCACCTGCCATGGCCTCTAAACAGAGGCAGCCTCAGACCACATCTTTCTGTGGTGGGAAATCTGGGTTTGGCTGGATCCTGGGGACCCTGCAGGGCTGGGCTGAGCCGGGCCTCTCCAGCAGGTGCAGCTGCAGCTCTGACCACCCAGGCTTATCTCACCCCTTCCTGGACTGAGATGTGTCCAGGCCTGGGCAGAGGAGGCTGGGTCCTGCTGTTCTGCTCAGTGCCCTCTCTTTTTAGGGTCCCTGGTGCCTCCGCAGAGCCCTCTGGGTCCCGCCTGGCTCTCCTCCCTCAGAGCACAGGTGAGTGCCCCATCTGGTCACCTCCACCCTGCTCCCGTGTTCGTGGGTGTCCCTCATTCTGGCCTCCTGCTGGTCAGTCCCCTGCCCACTCTCTCTGCCCCAGGCCTCAGAGACTCCGCCTGCACCACCAAGGATCCCTGTCTCCCAGGCTGTCTCCAGAGGACATACAGGACCACTTTCCCCAGAACCCAGTGAAGGTTCTAGAAACTCTCAGGTTCTCAGGGTCACTGGAAGTGGTCTCTGCTATTTTGGCAGCTTCAAAATATTCTTCAAAGCCAAGAAGTCTTGAGGTTTCCTTGGACACGAGGATGATGATGTAGCTACCATTATTTATGGCCAGGGTGATGTTTAATTTTATGTGTCGACTTGGCAGGGCCACAGTGCCGGATATTTGGTCAAACATTATTCTGATGTTTCTGTGGCATTATTTTGTGGGTAGGATTAACATTTAAATTTTACATTTCACAATTCTGTGAAAATTAAACAACAGTCTTTTTGTTGAGACAGGGTCTTGCTCTGTTGCCCAGGCTGGAGTGCGGTGGTGCAATCAGAGCTGACTGCAGCCTCCAACTCTTAGGCTCAAGCGATCCTCCCACTTCAGCCTCCCAAGTAGCCAGAACTAGAGGCACATGCTCCCACACCTGGCTAAATTGTGTAAATGTTTTGTTAAGAGAGAGGGTCTTGCTATGTTGCTCAGGCTGGTCTCAAGCTCCTGAACTCAAGTGATCCTCCTGACTTGGCCTCCTGAAGTGTGGAATTACAGGCGTGAGCCACCATGCCCACCTAGTGGCATATTTCTTAATTTCCAAATACGTGAGGATGTTCTAGTTACATATTTGGTTTTGGGGGATATTTTTTGGGTTTTTTTTTTTTTTTTTTTTGAGACAATCTCACTCTCACCCAGGCTGGAGTGCAGTAGTGTGATCATGGCTCACTGCTGTCTGCGACTCCTAGGCTCAAGTGATCCTCCTGCCTCAGCCTCCTGAGTAACTAACTGGGACTACAGGCACATGCCACCACGACCCAGCTAGTTTCTTTTTTATTTTTATAAAGACAGGGTCTCACTATGTTGCCCAGGATGGACTCAAACTTCTGGCTTCAAATGATCCTCTTGCTTTGGCCTCCTAAAGTTCTGGGATTGCAGGGATGAGTCACTGTGTGCCCAGCCATATCTTTGTTATTGATTTCTAGTTCAACTGTATGTGTTTAGGGTACATACTCTCAATAATTTCAATTCTTTGACTTGAAATTTGCCTTATGGAGACTTGTTTAAAACTCAATATATAGTTCCTTTTTGTCAATGATTCTTGCCTGTTTTTGTCTTTGAAGAGAACATGTGCTCTGCAGCCCTTGAATGCCGTGCTCTGTATACAAGTCCATTAGGTACTCATTATTGTCTTTCAACCTTCTATTTATTTTTGCTTTTTAGGGTTTGTTTGTTTTGTCTGCTGAGAAGGAATCATCTCCCTCAGGGACTGTGAATTTGTCCCTGTAGCTCAGCAGTTTTTGGTTTCATATTTTTTTGAGACTACATTATCAAATGTATACAAATTTAAAACTGCTGGTCCAGCTGGTGGCTTACACCTGTCATCCTATCACTTTGGGAGGCCAAGGCAGAAGGATCGCTTGAGCCCAAGAGTTTGAAACCAGCCTGGGGAACATGGTGAAATGCCATCTCTACAAAAAAATTAAAAACTAGCTGGGCATGGTGGCTTGCACCTGTAGTCCCAGCTACTTGGGAGGCTGAGGTGTGAGGATCATCTGAGCCCAGGGGGTCTAGGCCGCAATGAACTGTGATCACACCACTGCACTCCAGCCTGGGCAACAAAGTGAGACCCTGTTTCAAAAGAAAACCAAAAAACACCATGACCTCCCTGATGCTCCCTGATGAGGTTTTTTTTTTTTTTTTTTTTTTTTTACTCTTGTTGCCCAGGCTGGAGTGCAATGGCACAATCTCAGCTCACTGCAACCTCCTCCTCCCGGGTTCAAGCCATTCTCCTGCCTCAGCCTCCAGAGTAGCTAGGATTACAGGTGCACACCACCATGCCTGGCTAATTATTGTATTTTTAGTAGAGACAGGGTTTCACCATATTGGCCAGGCTGTTCTTGAACTCCTGACCTCAGGTGATCCACTCGCCTTGGCCTCCCAAAGTGCTGGGATTACAGACATGAGCCACCACGTCCAGCCAAAATAGAACTTTTATTACCATAAAATATCCCTATTTATTCCAGATGATACCTTTTACCTTAAAGTTGTTTTTGTCTGATATCTATAGAACCACACCAGTTTTCTTTTGAGTAGGAATTTCATGGTATCTTTTTCCATCTGTTTACTTTCACAGCCATTCTCCGTCCTACCCCACCATTCCTA